CCGCTTCTTCCCCGCCCCCGCCGCCTCGCCCCCAGGGCCGCTTCTCCCCGCCGCCTCGCCCCCAGGGCCGCTTCTCCCCGCCGCCTCCCCCCAGGGCCGCTTCTCCCCCACCGCCGCCTCGCCCCCCAGGGCCGCTTCTCCCCGCCGCCTCCCCCCAGGCTTCCTCCCCGCCGCCTCGCCCCCCGGCCGCTTCTCCCCCCCCTCGCCCCCAGGGCCGCTTCTCCCCGCCGCCTCGCCCCCCAGGCCGCTTCTCTCCCCGCCGCCTCGCCCCCCAGGCCGCTTCTCCCCCCGCCTCGCCCCAGGCCGCTTCTCCCCGCGCCTCGCCCCCCGGGCCGCTTCTCCCCGCCGCCTCCCCAGGGCTTCTCCCCGCGCCCCCCAGGGCCGTTCTCCCCGCCTCGCCCCAGGGCCGCTTCTCCCCGCCGCCTCGCCCCCCAGGGCCGCTTCTCCCCGCCGCCTCGCCCCAGGGCCGCTTCTCCCCGCCGCCTCGCCCCCCAGGGCCGCTTCTCCCCGCCGCCTCGCCCCCAGGGCGCTTCTCCCCGCGCCCCCCCACCAGGGCCGCTTTCCCCCCGCCTCGCCCCCAGGGCCGCTTCTCCCCGCCGCTCCCCCCAGGGCCGCTTCTCCCCGCCGCCTCGCCCCCCAGGGCCGCTTCTCCCCGCCGCCTCGCCCCCCAGGGCCGCTTCTCCCCGCCGCCTCGCCCCCAGGGCCGCTTCTCCCGCCGCCGATCCCCCCCCCCAACCTTCCCAGGGCCTCCTCGCGCCTCGCCCCAGGGCCGCTTCTCCCCGCCGCCCTCGCCCCCAGGGCCGCTTCTCCCCGCCGCCTCGCCCCCAGGGCCGCTCTCCCCGCCGCCTCCCCCCAGGGCCGCTTCTCCCACCGCCCGCCTCCCAGGGCCGCTTCTCGCCGCTCCCCCCAGGGCCGCTTCTCCCCGCCGCCTCGCCCCCAGGGCCGCTTCTCCCCGCCGCCTCCCCCCAGGGCCGCTTCTCCCCGCCGCCTCGCCCCCCAGGGCCGCTTCTCCCCGCCGCCTCGCCCCCAGGGCCGCTTCTCCCCGCCGCCTCGCCCCCAGGGCCGCTTCTCCCCGCCGCCTCGCCCCCAGGGCCGCTTCTCCCCGCCGCCTCGCCCCCCAGGGCCGCTTCTCCCCGCCGGGGTCACCTCGGCCACCGCCCGCACCGGCGCCGGCTCCCTGGACACGGGACCCGCCTCGGCTCTGGAGATGCCGCCCCAGGCTGCAGCGGCCCCCGGGCGTCCACAGGCGGCAGTGAGCCGCGGGTTCGGGGGTCCAGCGAGCAGAGGGTGGGGCAGCGGGACGCTCGGAGCCGGCCTTGCCCACTCCAGCCGCAGCTCGCGCCCGGCGCCGGCAAGCCCAGCCCACCCAACGACGCCCTGCGTCACACCGAGCGCGCCGTCGCCCTCTGATGCCGTTCGGCTCCGCGCACTGCGTCGCACGCCACCTGGGACGGAGGCGGGACTTCCGGGCGCCCGGAGGCACAACTTCCGGAGGGAGGCGGAAGAGTCTCTGGGCTCTACGCTCGGGAGACCCGGGACTGCTGAGGGGCTACCCCGGGGCACAGGAAAGGGCCGCTGGGGCCGACGGGCGGCGCTCCGGGTGTCAGGGCCGCGGGCCTGAGGGATGAGGAGGGGCCATGGCCAGCGACGGCGTCAGGAAGCAGTTCTGGAAGCGCAGCAACAGCAAGGTCCCGGGCAGGTGGGTGTGACGGAGGGCCGGGTCGGGGTCAGGGGTCGGAGGTCAGGCGGCCGCAGCGGCCCCGCGGGGCTGCGGGAGGCGGCGGGGTTCGGGCCGACTGCCGGGTGGCGCGAGGGGGCGTTGGGGCGCTCGGGCATGGGACAGTGCCCGCGCAGAGGAGCGAGGCTTGCGAGGAGGAGGCGGAGCTGCCGCGCGTTCTCCCGGGGACGGGCGGGCGCTCGTGGGCGACACTGCCCAGCTCCCCGGGAAGGCGGGACGGCAGGGTCGGGCCGTGCCCGGCGCGGGCGGCGGAGGCCGGGAGCGGCCGGGGCCGTGCGGCTTCTGACCTCGTGTCTCGCGGGGGCTGCTGGTTTGACCTGAGCCGCCTTCGCAGTGTCCACGTTCCCGCTCCAGGCAGCTCCTGTGCCCACCGCAGCCGGCGGGGCAAGGCTTTTTTTTTTTTTTTTTTTTTTTTGCGCCGTGGACGCTCTGACAGTCCCAGAGTCCTCGTCTGATTGGCGTGGCGCTGAGCCCGGCCGGGCCCTAGGGACAGAGGAGACTTGGCGTGGAAAATCCCCGGTCAGCCCCCGGCGAAAGCACATGAGAGCCGGCTCGTCTGAACTCCTGAAAGTCAAGAATGGCGGCGTTAGAGTTAGGGCTTAGGCAGCATCTGGTGGCTTGTGCCGGAAACTTTGGAGGTCAGCGCGTCCAGCCAGGACAGTGTACCTCGCAGAGTGATCTGGGCGCTGGCGGACCAGGGAGTTTAGCATGAAGAGCGCCCGCGGAGCTGGCTGAAGACCCCCGCCTCCCACCCCCTGCTGCGAGGCTTCCAGAAAGACCCCACCTAGGGCCCGAGGGGCGGTGAAGGTTCTGGAAGGGCAGTGCCAGGGACAGATGCAGGAGGCCCTCGAGTCCTGGGAAACAGAGCCACGTGACTCTCTCGTGGGCGTTGCCTTCAGGTGTTGAGGTTTTGGGTCTCCTTTACTCTCAAGTCCAGTATTTGTTTTTTATAGAAGTGTGGGGACCCTCTTGTTTATTTGAGCGGCAGAGAGAGAACTCTGCCCGAGCACTGGTTCACCCCCAGCCCTCTACCCAAATGCCTGCGTTGGCTGGCCCTGATGAAGCTGGGGCAGGAACCCAGCCCAGGCCTCCCACACAGGTGGCAGGTCACTGCGCCAGCCAGCACTGCTGCCTTCCAGGGCGTCTGTAGCAGGAAGCTGCTCTCAGGGGCCAGAGCTGCGGCTGAGCCCAGGCAGCCTGGTACGGGAGGCGGCACCTTCCCTGCCTTCCAGGGCGTCTGTAGCAGGAAGCTGCTCTCAGGGGCCAGAGCTGCGGCTGAGCCCAGACAGCCTGGTACGGGAGGCGGCACCTTCCCTGCCTTCCAGGGCGTCTGTAGCAGGAAGCTGCTCTCAGGGGCCAGAGCTGCGGCTGAGCCCAGGCAGCCTGGTACGGGAGGCGGCACCTTCCCTGCCTTCCAGGGCGTCTGTAGCAGGAAGCTGCTCTCAGGGGCCAGAGCTGCGGCTGAGCCCAGACAGCCTGGTACGGGAGGCGGCACCTTCCCTGCCTTCCAGGGCGTCTGTAGCAGGAAGCTGCTCTCAGGGGCCAGAGCTGCGGCTGAGCCCAGGCAGCCTGGTACGGGAGGCGGCACCTTCCCTGTCGTGTGACTGCTAGGCCATTAGCTGAGAGGCAGGAGTCAGCGCACGGTGGTGTGGAGCTACACCCGAGGCCAACCCTTTGCACTGATGACGGCGTCTCCTGGCAGTGTGTCCTTGCAGGGCTTGAGTTAGCGTCCCTCCGAAGCGCAGGTATGCAGAACTGGTGAACGTGCCCTGTTTGGAAACAGGGTCTTTGTAGAAGTGAGCAAGTCAGGGTGAGGGTTAGGGTGGGCCCTGGTCCAGTGACGGGGTCCTTTGAAGAAGAGGAAGATCCGGACACAGACGTGGGGCTGGTGACGTGAAGCAGCAGCAGAGCCTGGAGTGAGCCGTTTGTGAACCGAGGAAAGCAGGGGCTGCCAGCAGCCACCAGAAGTAGAAGGGACAGGAAGGCCCCTCCCCTAGGGACCTGACCGAGGACACTTTGGTCTCAGACTCCTGGCCTTCAGAACTCAGAGTGACAGAGAGGGGGAGACGTAGGTCCCAGTGGTCAGGGCTGGTCCAAGCCAAAGCCAGGTCTTCCATCCGGGTCTCCCCTGTGGGTGCAGGGACCCAAGCACTTGGGGCATCCTCTGCTGCCTGCCCAGCGCATTAGCAGGGAGCTGGGTGGGAAACAGCAGTGGGGACTGGAACCGGTGCCGTGATGCGGGATGTGGCAATTTTTTTTTTTTTTTGACAGGCAGAGTGGACAGTGAGAGAGAGACAGAGAGAAAGGTCTTCCTTTTGCCGTTGGTTCACCCTCCAATGGCCGCCGTGGCCAGCGCGCTGTGGCCCGTGCACCGCGCTGATCCGATGGCAGGAGCCAGGTGCTTCTCCTGGTCTCCCCTGGGGTGCAGGGCCCAAGCACTTGGGCCATCCTCCACTGCACTCCCGGGCCACAGCAGAGAGCTGGCCTGGAAGAGGGGCAACCGGGACAGAATCCGGCGCCCCGAGAACCCGGTGTGCCGGTGCCACAAGGCGAGGATTAGCCTAGTGAGCCGCGGCGCCGGCTGGGATGTGGCAATTTAACCTGCTGTACCGCTGTGCCACCAGCAGTGCTGGCCCCGCATTTCTGTTGTCCAGAGCCACGAGGTTTGTGGTAATTTGTTATGACAGCCACAAGAAACTGCCGTGTCCTGCCGTGTCCAGCCTCTGGGAGATGGATCCTGAATTACTGAAGGCTGGCTGTCATTGCCTGTGGTTTTGACACTGTGCTGTGTTCTGAGCACTTTGGAGGGTTGCTGTGTGCGGAATGTGGGGCAGGGCATGGGGTCTGCAGAACTGGCGCCTGCTGCTGAAAAGGGCGGGACAAGGAGGGAAGGCGGGCCACAGAAAGAGCTGTCCAGCGTCTGTGTTCCCTGGTGCCTGTGGCTGTCCCCTCTGGCGACAGGCTGCAATTCCACCCCCGAAGCCCTGCTGAGCCGCCCTCTTCCCTGTCAGTACGTGCCGTCTCATGTCGTCGCTGGCCACGTGCTCACGCGGCGCTGGGCTCCTTCCGGGGTTCCCGTGCCTGTCTTGCTGTTTTCTGAGTGCCCAGGAAGACTCGGGGAGGATGACACTGCTCACAGAACGCGGGCTCGTTAAGGGGTCCAGCGTTTGAGCTTTCTACTTCTGGGCAGCCCTTGGGTTTGCTGGTTGCTGTTCTTGGGGCTGCACCAGTGTGTCTACCAGGGCTGTCTGGTTTGCCCCCAGGACACCGTGCTGAGAAGGGTGGGTGTGCTGAGGGTCCCCGGGCCCTTGGTGCGCCGCGCCCTGATGCCATGTCACTGCCATGCTCTAGCGCCCACCGGGACGTGCCTCCCTCCCGCTGGCCTGTTTTCCACTCTCCATGGTCCCCGAGGCTTCCCTCCGCACGAAGCCGGCAGCCCTAGACTGCCCGTGGCCGTGTCCCTCTCGCGCTGCCACTTGGTGCTGGTGTTCTCCAGTGGTGAGCGCTGTTTCTGGGTTGTGCCTGTCTCTCCTCTGCGTTGTTGGCACGCGATGGTGCGCCACGCAGGCTGCTGAGCGAGCGGTGTGCCCGAGGCCGTGCCTGGCACCACGGGTGTCTTGCTGGTGGAGCCCTCTGCTCGTATTTTGGTCCTTAGGTTGTGTATTTGCAGCGGCTGTCTTAGAAACTCACTTGCTGGATGAGTCAAGATGAGTGGCGTGGTAGGAAGACCCCTGGTTAGGAGTTGGGTGGTGTGGATTTTAACCTCTCTCTATTAGTATCTGTGTGACAGTGGCCAAGGGCTGTCATCCCCGAGGCCGTTGGTCTCTGCACCTGTGACATGAGCAGACTACATGTGTAGACCTGTGTAGGAGGGTGTTTGGCCCAGTCTAGCTGTCTGATGAGAACTCGCCTGTTGACCAGTCTTGAGTTCACCCAGTGACTGAGTGACTCTTTGACCCACACTGTGCGCCAGGGCCAGCTCCCACTTGCTATGGCTGTCTCGGTGAACACAGTGGAGCAGAGTCCTTGCTGTCTCAGGTCGCCAGGGAGTGGGAGAGCAGATGAGAAACAGCTGGGTTACGCGGAGTTCACTGGAGGAAGGTGGCAAGTGCAGGCGAGTGGGCAGGTAGCTCGGAGGCAGCTGTGGGGGGAGGGTCTCGTGGAAAGGTGACCAGGGAACCTCTCACTGAGGAGGTGACCTTAGCAGGAGGTGACGTGCCTGGGAGAGGAGCGCTGACCCAGGTGCCGTGATGTCCTGGTCGAGGAGAGGAGCCGGGGGCCAGTGTGGCTGTGGCTGGGGAGGCGGAGACGGTCCCCTGGTCACACTGATGACATGGACTCTGCCGTCTTCCCCGAGTGCACCACGCTGGCGAGGGTTTCAGCAGAGCGGTAGCAGGATTGCTTTGGCTGCCGTGCCGAAGGTGGTGTGGCGGTGTGGCGGTGTGAGGAGGGTGGGGCAGAGGCCGGGAGGCCGGGGAGGAGGCCAGTGCAGCTCCAGGCGAGAGGCGCACAGCGGGTCTTGGGAGGGGGGCGATGCAGTGTGGTCTGTAGGTGGGGAGAGCCACGGAAGGTCCCCCCTGTGTCGGGCCTGTTCCTTCTGGGCCGTCGACTCACTCGGCTCTTGGCCTGTTACCTTCTGCAGCGGCAGTTGGGATTCCTGCCGCGCTCGCTCCACGTGCCGAGACAGAACTTGGCAGGCTGGGCGTGAGGACACGGCAGCCTTCCAGCGTGGCTCGCCCTGCTCCGCCTGGCAGTGAGCTCTGCTGCAGGAGGGGCGCAGGCAGCTGGGGTCTGTGCACGTGGGGGTGACGTTTGTGAGCGTGCGGGTGGCAAGAAAGGCCCACATGGAATCTGGCGAGCCCGTGGGTGTCGGGAGAAAGAGGAGCAGGAGAGCCTTCTCGGTGTCAGGGCCCTGACAGCCTCCGCTCGCACCGTCAGCGCCACGAGGAGTCTGGGAGCAG